GTAAGTCACGTCTTCTACTGTTTGAGTAAAAGGAGATCCTATGTTGCAATTAAAACTTTCGTGGTTCCCTCCACAATGTTTACATTTCGGTCCCATTGTCTAGGCTACACTCATTTGATCTACCTTCTGTGCCAATGATGCTAATTGTGTTGAAAGTGCTGTTATAGAATCAACTTTGAATACCCCAGCAGCTTTCTTTCCACTCGTTCTTTCAGTACGCCAAGGTGCACTGGTGAATGCCAATCCTCCATGATTTGGTGGACTTGGTCCGCGGTTCTTTCTGTGATAGAACCATTGCATGTAGAGTCTACCTTAGCCCTGCTAATCGGGTTCAAACCAATGTAGAAGTATTGCACTTGAAGCCACTTCTGCAATCCGTGTTGTGGGCATTGGCGAAGTAAACCCTTGTATCATTCCCAAGCCTCTGAATAGCATTTTGAGTCCATTTGCTGAAAAGTAGTGATCTCGTCCATTAGCTTTGCAATCCTTTTCGGTGGGAAATATTTGCTAAGAAATTTTTGACTCAATTGTTTCCTTGTTGTGATGCTCTGTGGTGGACAAGTGCCTAATTACTTTGCTTGAAACCTTCGGATATTCAATTGTTGTACACATGTCCAGAAATCTTGATATATGAGCGTTGGGATTCTCTGTAGCTTTTCCAAAAAATTGTAGCGCATTTTGGAACATGTTGATGACATATGTTCTCAGGTGGAAGTTTGCCTGACCAAACGCCGGATATACGATACTAAACTGGCTTTCCACTATCGGTGGAACCATATACTCTTGCATGAGCCTTGCATTTTCATTGGTTGCAGCTATGTTCGGTTGTGCTATTCCTAGATTAGCCCCGATGGCTATTTGATTCGGATTTTCATTTGCAATATCTTCCTCTTTTTGTTTTTGGTGTGTTTCAAGCTGTTGTCTTCTTCGAAAGTTGAATGTTCGTTCGATTTTTGGGTCAAATTGAGCAAGATCACCAGTTCTCGAACCTTGCATACAAAGTCTTGAAAAAGAAAGAAAAAAACACTGTAAAAATTTTCTAAATTAATTAACTAAACTAAAAATAAAATTCAGATTAAAGTTAAAATTAACTAAACCTAGTCAAAAAATATAGTTCCCCGGCAACGGCGACAAAAACATGGTCGTTTGATCACTCGCAAGTGAACAAGATCGTGAACAGGTAATAAAGTGTTGTATAGAGTGTCGAACCCACAAGGACTATATGTTTGATCGAGTTAAAGCTAGTAATTCCCCTAATCGAATAGCAAGGTCAAGTTGTAACTAACACTATTAAATCTATCAATTATATAGAAAGCAAAATAAATTTTTATCAAATTTGCGAGAAGTATTGCTAAGATGTGGAATCCTCCTTGCTCCTCCATTTTAGTTCGATAATTTAAACTGAAAATTTGAAATCATGCTTGCTGGTCTATATTTCTATTTTATTTAAAAGCCTATCTTGATAGCAATTAAATCTAATCCTACACGTGATTTTCCTAGATCTCTATGAAAAATACGAATGTATAAAAAAGCATAAACGAGCTAGAACATCTTAACAACCATGTGAAGCATAGAGATATATCTTTATCCTCTATCGAACCTCACAACGTTTATTATTACAAGCTAACGATCCTATTATTTCTCTCGATGACAATAAAATCCACAAACATTTCAATTATTGGCCAAGTAATTGAAAAGCAAGTTAAACCATAATAAACACCCAAACAATTAAGCGAATTTAACGTCAATTTAATCTATTCGAACTAATAACTTCATAACAAGAGTTCACACAGAAGTTTCACTTAGAAAACGAATCCAATCAGAGATTGGATGTTCACGAAGAAGAAGAAGGGTTTTGGAAGGATCTCGAATCTCAGGCAGCTGCTCAAGAAAAAGAAAAATGACGTTCCAACTGATTAGGGCAAGGGGTGGATTTATTTATACCCACAAGAGGCAGCCATTGATCAAAGTTTCATCCAACGGTCAGGGGCTCCCAAGAGAAACTGAAGAAAGCGTGTTTCTGGCTGCGTTAAAAACGCCACGCCATAGAAACATGCTTTTAAACCTATTTTGGGCCAGGGTGGATCGGGTCAAGTTATTGGGCAAGAGCCTAATAATTTGTAAAACTAGTAATTTGGGCTTTAGCCCATTTTTGTCATCACAGTCCCTAAAAAAAAAGGCCATTGAGCATCACAGCCCAATATGTATTTTGGAGGGGATTTGCAAATTATTTCCATGGAAAGGATATGATATGTTATTTTCTCTAATTTCCTCCCTTTACCATGAAGCGTCAGTTATTTTATCCTTCCAATTAGCTAACAGTCACATGAATAGATACTTGGAAGCCAGTCATGACTATAAAGGTTATTATTACAGGCACAGATGCTTACCTTCATTTGTCGCGGCTAGGAGATTCTCAAGAACCTTTGCCTTGATAGCATGTTTGATAAAGCCAATTTTACATTATCATACTATTACTAAAGAAAATGAAGCAACCATTTCCTAGTACAGTGTACTGTCCAATTTTATCCAATATCTGAGTTCAAACATTTAAATCCTAATTGTAAGTGAATCATATTGCTGTTCTTCATTATCAATCGGCTTATATAATTAATGTTTTTAAGTTAACGGTGTGCACTGTGCAATTTGTAATTTGTAAAGACAACTAAACAGTATGCTATTCTA